TGAGGCCCCCAGAAAACCGCGCACCAGAGGTCACTCCTACCCAGGGCCTCTCTTGAGTGTCGTCGATCTCGGAGGCTGGGCGAAGGCCGGCAAATCCGTGGCTGCTAAAACGGCCTTCCCAGAAGAGAAAAAAACAACTTCCTGGAATCAAGTATTCCGCGCGCCGAGCAGTATCAAGGGGCCGCTCCCCAGCAGGAAAAGACACAATCTCCCGGAGCTCCGTTTCAGCAGCCACGGGTCTGTCGGCCTTCGCCCCGCTTCTGGCCCTCCCCGGGCCTGCTCCCGGGGCCCACTTCGATCCGGCCTCCGTTTCAGCAGCCACGGGTCTGTCGGCCTTCGCCCCGCTTCTGGCCCTCCCCGGGCCTGCTCCCGGGGCCCACTTCGATCCGGCCAGTCCGGCACACATAACCGCGTGCGGGCGATAATAAAACCTACCCCCCCCTTCCCCCCCTCTATTTTTATTATCCCCTCCCCGTTCAACAGGATTTAATTGTGGAGAGGGGCGCGGAGCCACTTGGGGCCTCCTGGAAGCTTCCGGGGAGCCTTTTCGGGGCGTTCGCGGGGCCTCTTCGGGGCCTCCAGGGGCGTTTTGGGGGGCCGCGCAGGGGGCCGCCCTGGCCCTCCTCCTCAGCTCGCCTTCACTCCCCCCCTTCCCATGCGCCGCCGCCGCCGCCGCCTACGCCGCCGCCTACGCCGCCGCCTACGCCGCTGCCGCTGCCGCCGCCGTCGTCGCCGCCGCCGCCGCCGCGGTCGTCGTCGTCGTCGTCGCCGTCGATGTTTTCGTCGTCGTCGTCGTCGTCGTCGTCGTCGTCGTCGTCGTCGTCGTCGTCGTAGTCGTCGTCGTCGTCGTCGTCGTCGTCGTCGTCGTCGTCGTCGTCGTCGTCGCCGTCGCCCTCCAGGAGCTGGCGAAGATGACGACGGAGTGGTCCATGAGGCGGGCCGCCCAGGGCAAGGTGGCGTACAGCGTGGGCACCGGCGGCGGCCCTGGCATGATGGAGGCCGCCAACAAGGCCGGCCAGCGGAGGAGGAGGAGGACGCAGGTCGGGTGTTGCCAGGAGTGCCCCTGGCCCGAGGTGCCCCCAGGATTCTCGGTGTGGCCCAGACGGCCTCCAGAGCACCCCTCGCGAGGCCCAGAGGGCCCCAAGGGGCTCCAGAGTGCTACGAAAAGCTGGGGGCGCCTTGGGCCAGGGGCACTTCTGGCAACACCCGAGCAGGGAGGACCCAGATGGGCGAATGGCGGAGGCGGGGAAGTGAGAAGGAAAAGGCCTTCTCAGAAGGCGGCGGGACTTCTCAGAAGCCCTCGCGCCTTCTGAGAGGCTTCTGTGGGCGCCTCCGGGGAGGGCTCGGAACACTTCTCAGAACCCTTGGGGGGTTCCCGAGCCTTCTGATGAGGCCCGCCCCTTCGCACTCCCCCCCCTCGCTCGCCGCCGACCTGAGATCTGGACCTTGCGCATGTTTTCCACACTGGGCGTTCTCGCCAGGCTTCGGGCCTCGAGGCCCTCACATAACTATCGATTTCTAGCCCCCCCCCTGTTTGCGTAAACAGGGGGGGTCTGAGATTCGGGTGCCGGGTTTACTCTTCTTGTCTATGCTGAGTGAGATCTCGGCGGCGGATGGGGTGACGTTTTCGTCGCTAGGCGATATATAAGAAAATCCGATCGATCCGCCTCGGAGAGGGGCGGAGGCAGAGAGGGGTTCAGGGCCCCCCCTCCCGTTCGTGATCTCTCGCGGGGCTGCACGCTTTTTTGGCCACGCCGGCTCTCACGGAGGACGGAGGGAGGGGGGGGGGGGCGAGGGTCGGAGGAGCAGGGAGGAGGACCGTTCGATGGAGAGGAGGGTCGCAGGAGCGTGGAGGAGGATCGGTCGAGGGAGGAGGGGAGGAGCATGGATCGAGAGAGGGAGGGAGGAGGGTCGAGGGAGGATCGATCGAGGGAGGAGCATGGATCGAGAGATGGAGGGTCGAAGGAGCATGGAGGCGGATCGGGTGGGGGAGGGAGGACGGGGCACGGGGGATCGAGCGAGGGTGACTCCAGACACGCCGTGTCCCGCCTGGGAGCTCACGACGAGGGGGAGGCCTGGCCGCCAGAGGCTCAGGGAGGATCAGCACGTCCACGAGCGAAGGACGCGAGCAAGCGAGAGCCACCCCGACCCCCACATCTTGGCGTTTACCAGCAGTCGTCGGCACGTTTGCAATAAGAGCCCTGCGCTTGTCGGGGTGCTTGTCACGAGGCGGGCTCTTCTGTCTTCTGAGATACGAGCCAAGACGTTCAAAACTTAAGGTGCCAAGACGCTTAACCCTTTCACCCCAGGGGCGAAGGCGAGGGCGAGGCCGAGGATGACGAGGACGACGAGGCCGACGACGATGGCGACGACGGCGAGGGGGCATAAAACAATGAGGATAAGGATAGTCGTCAAAGTCGTCGTCCTCCTCCTGCTCTCTGACGGGAAGGGGGGTGATGATAATGCTGATGATGAAGATGATGATGATGCTGAATAGGATGATGGTGATGATGATGGTGGTGGTGATGATGATGCTGCTCATGACGTCAATGATGATGCTGATGATGATGATGATGATGATGACGCTGATGCTGATTCTTATGCCGCTGATGATGATTATGCTTTTGATGATGAGAAGAACAATGATTATGCTGATGCTGATGATGCTGATGATGCTGATGATGCTGACGATGATGATGATGATGATGATGATGATGATGATGATGATGATGATGATGATGATGATGATGGCGACGACGAAGGTGGTGGTGGTGATTGTGGAGGTGCGTAGGATTGTGGTATTGATGGTGACGGTCTTGGTGATGTTGATGATGATGCTGCTGCTGATGGTGCTGGTGATGATGATGATGATGATGATGATGATGATGATGATGGCCATGATGATGATGATGATGATGATGATGATGATGATGATGATGATGATGATGATAATGATGATGATGATGATGACGATGATGATGATGATGATGATGATGCTGATGTAAAGGATGATGAAGCTGATGCTGCTGATGATGATGCTGATGATTATGGTGACGATGCTGATGATGATGCGGATGATGATGATGCAGCTTCTGCTGATCCTGATGCTGATGCTGATGATGGTGATGTTTTTGTCGATGATGATGCTGCTGATGATGCTGATGATGATGATGATGCTGATGCGGATGCTACTGCTGATGATGATTATGATGATGATGTTGATGATGCTGGTGACATGATGATGATGCTGATGATGATGCTGATCATGATGCTGATGCTGATGATGCTGCTGATGATGCTGATGATGATGATGCTGATACTGATACTGATGCTGATGCTGATGCTGATGATGATGAAGATGAGGATGATGATACGGATGATGCTGATGATGCTGATGATGCTGATGATGCTGATGATGCTGATGATGCTGATGCTGATGATAATGATGCTGACTATGATGTTGATGGTGATGATGATGCTGCTGATGCTGATGATGATGATGTTGATGATGATACTGATGATGATGCTGATGATGATGATGCTGATGCTGATGATGATGCAGACGCTGCTGATGATGCTGATGCTGATGCTGATGCTGATGATGATGCTGCTGATGATGATGATTATGATGATGCTGATGATGATGATGATGATGATGATGATGATGACGATGACGATGATGATGAGGTTGATGATGATGATGATGATGATGATGATGATGATGATGATGATGATGATGATGATGATGATGATGAGGAGGAGGAGAGGAGGAGAGGAGGAGGCGGGAGGAGGAGGAGGCGGAAAGGAGGAAATGTGAAGAAGAGGAGAAAGAAATGGAGAGGAAATTGCGGAGGAGAAGGCTGCGGAGGTGGAGAAGGAGGAGGAGGAGGAGGAGGAGGAGGAGGATGAGGAGGAGGAGGGAGGAGGAGGAGGCGGAGGAGGAGGAGGAGGAGGAGGAGGAGGTGGTGGTGGACGCCGACGACGACGGCGCCCTCGTTGAGCGACGGGGGACTGGGAACGGCCACCCAGGGCGCGATGCTGGCTGGGGGCAAGTCGATTGGCTTCGGGATCTCGCTGCCCTTCGAGGACCACCTGAATCCCTACGTGACCCCCGACCTGGCCCTTCAGGGGGAGGGTCAAGGATCGATGATCGAGCATCGAGGAGGGACGAGGAGGAGGAGGTTGAGGAGGAGGATGTTGAGGGGGAGGTGATTGAGGAGGAGGAAGAGGAGGAGGACGAGGTGGAGGAGGAGGAGGAGGAGGAGGAGGAGGGGAGGAGGAAGAGGAGGAGGAGAGGAGGAGGAGGAGGAGGAGGGGAGGAGGAGGAGGAGGAGGAGGAGGAGGAGAGTCGTTGCGCAATATCCAGCAGGCGCAGCGGCAGGCAGCCCCGACAGCCCTCCAGGTCTTCCTGCCGCGCAGCATTGAGACCCCGACGCGGAGGAAGTCCCAGAGATCAAGCGCCAGCTGGAGGACTTGCTGCTGGGAGGGGCGGACAACGCGTTCATCAGGCGGATGGCTAAGCTCCTGGCAGCCAAGGGCTTCAACCCCATACACAATCCATTCTATTGATGGCCCCCTGCCATCAGCGAGCTGCCTGATGCAGGTCCAGGGGGGGGCGTATGCACCATGGGGCGATTCTCAGCCGACGGCGACGGCGGCTGGGAACCTTTCAACGAGTCAGATTTTGCCAGCCTCGGACGAGGCTAGCTGGACAGGAGGCTCTTTGCTCCCAGCCGAAAACCCCCGCCATCCTTCAGCGCGGTCGGCACCACGATCAGTCTCTTTCGCCATGCCTCTCGGTGCAGCTGACGCGCAGGCTGCCTCAGAACTCGGGCCGAGCGGTTTCACCAGTGCACGGTGCTCTTCTGCAGCTTCCGCGGCTCCTTCGTCATCGATGCTCTTGTCTTCGGCTCGCGTGGTCTGGGACGTGTGTTCTTCAGGAGCGTCCGGCTCGGGCCACTTTCACGGGTGGACCTAAGCTGCGGCTTGACTCCGACCCAGAGCAGGCTGCCCTCAGCAGGCGGGGGGTCAGCTGATCTGCAGCTGGCATGCCCCCTGCTGGGATCGCCTGGAGGAAAGGTGTGAGTACCTCCAGTGCTTCAGCCTCTGGCAGTTTTGGTGGGTTGGCGGCTGCAGTCTTTCCCACGTGGGTGGGTCTATTTCCAACCGTGGGCTCGCCGAGGAAGGCTTTCTTCAGCTGATATCAACGGAACGTCAGGCACAGCTGGTGGGCTTCGAGGTAGACGACGACACCACGGAGACCAAACCCATGTCGTTCTATTCTCAGCTTGCCTTGGAGAACGGCCCTGGCAAATTAAATGTGAGAATTCTCACGGTGAGCGGCAACACGTGGCAGTCTGCTAAGGATGTGCTCCTTTGGTCGGACATGCATGTAGAAGTTCCGGAGAATGTCTGAGAATGTCTGCGTACAGGAGACCATCTTCCCCACAGACCAGGCTGATCGTTCGTCGCACCTGTGGTGCAAGAGTGGCTCCATAAAGGTGTCGGTCGGTCTGCCCGAGCGCACTTCTAAAGGACATCTGGAGGTTTCAGGCGGTGTTGCCATTTTGACTTCGCATCTCCTTGGAGCTCGGTGAGTGGTTGAGGTACCTGAGCGCTGGCAACATCGTGTGTTTTTCCGTCTTGCCATCCTGTTTCCGTCATCGGCCATTTTGGTGGTGTCGGTATTTGCCGTCACAGGCATCGGGCCTCGGGCGAAACTTTGGACTTGCTGGATTACATTGCTTCAGTGGTGTTGGGGCGTCAGTGGCCTTTTGTTTTTGTTCTTGCTGGCGACTGGAATCTGGATCCTGAGGACATCCCTGCAGACAGGGTGACTTGAGCTCATCCACGGCAGCGCGCGGACCACCCCGCATGGCACTTGTGGCGAGTCTGTCCTCGAGTTCTTTTTGCAGTCGAATTTTGCTAGACTCCTCGAGTGCAGCGTGGCAGGGATGGAGGGCGCCCCCATGGCCCTGCACGCCCCAGTGGTCCTCCCCATCGGGGGGCTTGCGGCCGAGCCGGTGGTTCGGCAGAAGGTTGCCTGCAAGTTTTTCCCGCTTCCCCCCGAGGGCTTCGGCCCGAAGGACAATCGGGGGCGGAAAAGAGGGGGTGATGACTAGGTGGGGTGGATATCATGGCGTGGGCCATGATATTTCTCCAGATTTCATGGCGCCTCTTCTTATTTCATTACGTCCCTGGCCCCCCCGCTGGGCCGCGCACATGCCGCCAGTCATGATTTGCACCCCCCCCTCTTGGACACCCCCCTCTTGGCCGCTCCCGAGATAAGTCTTCTGAGCTCCCAGAGGCGGCCGCCCAGCGTCCTACTCTTCTCGCGGTGCTGGGGGAGACCTTAGCAGCGCTGGAGGAATGATTCGTTTGCGTGGAGACCGAGGTGCGCCTCGTGCCGAAGATGGACCAGGGCGAGCGGGCCTATTTCCTGGATGGGCCAAAGGGGCCTAGGTTTCGACAGGTCAAGTTGCCCACTCGTCTGGAGAGGCTGACGTTCTACCAGGCGTCGACCTGGAGGGCATTTCGCAAGCTGTGGCAGCTCAAAGTTTGGGGCGAGGCCCCAGCGGGCTCGCGGAAGCGCCGGCCCGAGCGGAGTGGCAGGTTGGTCTGTGAGGTTCATGCTCTGGAGCTCCTGCGTGCGGCGCCCGACTCTGGGCCTCAGGAGTTTCGGACCGACGAGCGGGGTGGAGTTGGCCACCAGAGGCGGTGCCCCAGCTGCATGGTCCCGAGGCCTGCCGAGTGCCGAGGTCAGGCTCCGCCAGCCGCAGGGCGCTTCCGAAAGATCCAGGCAGTGGCGCCGTCTCACTCGGGAGCCCCTCCGCGGTCTTGCGACGGTGCCCCTCGCGGTCATCCGCCAGAAGCCGAAGCAGGAGGATGCCACCATCGCCTGGGGCTTGGCAGCCGGGCGCCCAGCCAGCCAGTGCGTCTTCTCAGCCGCCTTCTGCTGCCAGAGGCTCTGCTGACGCGCGCTCTCGCCGTCGTCCTTTGTCTGGTGCCGACCCCGCGCCTGCCTCGATGGGTCACCCCCGTTCGCCCCCCCCCCCCCCGATCCCCTCGGTCGGAGCAGGAGGGCGAGAGGCGTCGCCGCTCCCGAGCAATAGTTCAGACCTTTTTTCCGCCGCGAGAGCGCTGGCCCCCCCAAGAGTCACTGCAGCGGTGCGAGGGCGCGCCAGCAGCTGATAACAGACGACGTCAATGCCTAGCGTTGGGCCAGATTGGCAGGCCTCACCGAGCGAGGGTTCTGTTCGGTGCTGCGCTTTGCCCGAGCGCGAGCGCCCTTCCCTGCCGCGGGGCCCTCATGGGTTCGGCCACCCGCAAGGGGGCTCGGACAAGCCTGAAGCTGTGGCGCTCGACTCCAAGTCAGTTCTCCCCTCCCTGTGCAGATCGCGCGCAGGTCTGTCTGGACTTTAGTCGCGCGCCAGTAGTGGATGGTTTCACTGCGTGAAGCGCCTTCCTAATAAGCCGCCCGCTTGCGCGTTTTGCGGGGCCATGGCGCACGATGGTCGCTGGCGCGGCAGAGAGATGCGCAGAGCAACCGAAGGATTTCACTGCCAGTCTTGCTGGGTCGAATATGCGCCGCCGCACGAGAAGGAAACGTGAAAAGCTCGTTTGGTTCAGAGACCAGAAGCTCTTCCTGCTTCTTCCCAGTGCCATATAGCGGCGCCAATGCTCCCTCGCTCTCGCTGCATTAGGCCTGTCTATTCTTCCAGGCTTTTGGTGATATCTTAGCTGCAACTCCCTAGTCGGATCTTGGTTTTGCTTACGGCCGTAGGTCTGTCCAGGTCCGTTTTCTGTGGGTCGCCTCCTTGTGGCCACCCATCCACTTGGGACTGGCTCCAGTCGCCGCGGATTCCCAGTGTTACGATTGCCGTTGGTCTGCGCTCGCCTAGTGAAGCTTGCTTGCTGGCAGTGTGTCTGCTCCAGGCTCCCGCTGCTCAGTGCCTGGCGCCAGGAGCTGTTTCTTCAGCGCATCCGCAGTGTTGCACCCACTTCGGGGCTTTCAGCCCTCCTCCTCCCCCTCTTGGGTCTCCCTCCATCGCCCTCGTCCATATCGCTTGAAGGCTCGGCGCCGCTCAGGCGTAATACATTTTTTTTAAGACAAGTTGTGTTCGTGTTTTTTCGCTGAGCTCGCAGCGCGTTCTCAGGTGCAAAACTTGCTGTGGTCAGCGTTTGCTGAGGGAGGCTGAAGCTTGGACCTCGTGGCTGCTTCGGGAATCCGCTGCTCAGTTCCTGATCTCTGGTTCTTGCCGGCAGGGAAAGCCCAAACCGTTGTATCAGGTAAGGGCCTTCAGCTTGCTCTCCCCCTAGGGTCTCCCGCTTTGTCCCCCTTTCGTGCATAAGGCCTCTGCGCCACTCAGATCCGAGAGTAGCCTCGGGCTAAATTATGTATGTTTGATCTCTGCATCGCAGGATGACTTGCCAGCGCTTTTTTTTCGTTTGTAGAAGCCGCACACGAGCAGGCTTGCTTGTTCCACATTGCAGGAGTCTTGTAGCAGATCTGTATAAAACCCACCAGGTCCCAGCGGAATTGGCTCTGGTCAGGTCAGGGCCCACGTGGTGACTCCCATGTTGTCGCTTTCCCTTGGTCCAGAGTCTCCAGGCCTTGCTGAGTCCCCGAGGGCCCGCTCAGCATCCGCGAGCAAGCCCCTCTGATGGAGGTGGTCGGAGTTACCTTGGAGATGCCGTCCCAGCCCAGGCCGGGGCCATCAACAAAGGGCAGGATGCCAGCGCTCAGCATCCTTCTTCTCAGCCCTGGCCCCTGCTGGGCGGTGCCACCATCAGCCACGCGCAGAGGGGGGTGGGGGGAGGGCCTCTCGGAAGCACCCCTGCTCCTCAGAAGGCGCGGGCCTCATCCGCAGACGCAGGGCCGGCGCCCTCTCAGAAGCAGCCCCCCTCCGAAAAGCCATCCCCCCTCCCTCCCCCCCCCTTTCGGGCGAAGAGAACTATGCACATGCACCGATCCTGGCAAGGCCCGTCCTTGACCCAGGATCGGTGCATATACCTTCCTGGCCAAGGCAAAAGGGCGTATGCACCGATCCTGGGCTCAGGGTTGGGCCTGGCCAGAATCGGTGCATGTGCATAGTTCTCTTTCCTCTACCCTTGCGCGCACCGCCAGCACCGAGCCGGTGGGGTCGAGCGCTGCCGCCTCCCATCCCTCCGCGGCACGCCTCGCGGGGGAGGGCCCGGCCGGGCGGGCCCTCCTGCCATGCCTCGGGGGTCCGGGGCCCGCAAGACCCAGCACGGTCCGCCACGCCCCAGGGGCCTGCTCGGCCTCTCGCGCGCTGCCCCCTCCCTGCTCGGCGTGCAGCTCTCCTGCCCCTCTCGCTCGCCTGTCCCCCCCCCTTGCTGGCCTGCTTCTCTCCGCCCGTTGCCTTCCCGCGTCTCTGCTCTGCTCGGAGCGTTGTGGGGACGTCTGGAGAGCTTGTGCGCCATATGAGACCGGAGAGAAGAGAGGGGAAGCCGAGTGGGTGGTGGTGGTGGTGGTGGTGGTGGTGGAGGAGGAGGAGGAGGAGGAGGAGGAGGAGGAGGACAACGTTAACTTTTGGAGCTCCGCGCGGATTTCTTTGGAGAGAGGAGGAGGAGGAGGACAACGTTAACTTATGAGGGAGAGAAGAGGAGAAGCGGGAGAAAACGGAGGAGCGACACGGAGTTTGAGCGGGAGCGGTTCTTTTCCAATACCTTCAGTCGAACCCTGGGCCCGGCCCCCGCCCTCGAGGGTCTAGATAGGAGGGGAACACAGACACAATTAATCGTCCACTCCCAGGAAAATATGGGAAGATATGGGAAGTGGGGGGGAAGACAAAAGATACAAAAATAGGAAAATATGGGGACTCATTTATTTTTGTGTGTGTGTGCATCTCTATATATATATATATGTGTGTGTCCTGGGGCCCCTGCACTAGAGGCATCTCCTGCCCCGTCGACGTTCGGGGCCGTCGCTCGCTTCGGAGGCGGGCCTCCGATGTCATTGGGCCGTATCGCCTCGGAGCGCTTTTCGCTCTTGGCACCGCGCGGGGGCCCAGGGCCTTCCCTGAGATCCGAGTCAAGGGAGGAAGAACCACCCGGACCGGACGATTGGCGTCTGCTAAACGGCCCCGGGCGTTTCCTGAACAGCCTTGCCCCGTTTGACTCCTTCCCTGGGCGCGCTCACTCAACGGCTTCGCGTGCTGGGGTGGTATTCCTATCGGGGTGGATGTGCTGTCCTCTACTCTGAAGTCGGGCGTGTCCCTCCACAGGGGGAAGGTTCAAAAATAGGCAAAAAATAGTATGGGGGCATTTTTTTTTGATTATTTTTGACCATTATGGGGTATAGGGACAATTTTTTGATTATTTTTGACCATTATGGGATATCTTTGAGTGCTTTGTATCTTTCGTCTAGACTCCGCCTGTAGGGGGACACGCCCGACTTGACTCTGCTCCTCGCCCTTGGCACCGCGCTGGGGCCCAGGGCCTGCCCTGAGATCCGATGCCCCGCCACTCAGGAGGGAAAAATAACACACAGACACAAGTAATCGTCGATTCCCCAGAAACTATGGGAAAATATGGGCAGTGGGGGGGAAGATAGAAACCCAGAAAATATGGGAAACTATGGGGAATCCTTTTTTTGTGTGTGCATTTATTGGTGTGTCCCAGGGCCCCTTCAAACAAGTCGCAGGGGATCTTGACTGTGGAGCGTCGGTCACCGGAGTGGGTGCTCAGGCGTTGCACCCCCCTGTCTGGATGTCCTGTCCTGTCCTCGACCTCTCTCGGCCCCTCTGCCCTCGGGCCCCCCCCCCCTCCTCCTCCTCCCCCAGAGCCTCTCCCCCCCATCGGCAGTGCGCCCCCGGGGAGGCGTCCGATCGGGAGCGGCCAGGAGGGGGGCGAGGACTAGGGTTGAGTCGGGCCTGTCCCTCTACAGGAGGACTATTCAAGAAGAGTCAAACATTATATATATATATATATATCTCTATATATATGTTTGTTGTGATATTTTTGGGGTAGTTTTGTGATATTCCTAATTTTTCCTCCCAAGATCCGCCTGTAGGGGGACATGCCCGACCTCAGACTATGGGTGTGTGGATATCACGGTGGCGGCCCAGATATCTCCCCAGAGTCCGTGGCGCCTCTTCTCATTTCAATGCGTCCCGCCCCCACCCCCCCGGGGCCGCGCACATGCCCCCCCCCCGCCATGACCTTTGCGCCCCCCCCCTTGGACGCCCCCCCCCCTCTTGGCCGCTCCCGGTCTTGGCGCGCCCGCGTGCCTGTCTCCGAGCCTGCCGCAGACCAGGGCACTGCTCGCGGAGGAGGAGGAGGAGGAGGAGGAGGAGGAGGAGGAGGAGGAGGAGGAGGAGGAGGAGGAGGAGGAGGAGGAGGACAACGTTAACTTTTGGAGCTCCGCGCGGATTTCTCGGATCGGCGCTGGGCTCCCCAGCGCTTCCGGCCCCGCGCGCCACGCGCGCCGGGGAGGAGCGTTCAGCGCCGAGCCGAGAACTCCGCGCGGACCCCCGAAGGTCGATGTTTATACAATGTTCTGTTCCTCGAGTCTTGCCCTCCTCCTCCTGCCAGCACTCACCCTGCATCTGCCTCGCATGTGACGCCTCAGATCTGGCGAGCAGAAGGAATGCATACGAGCTGTATTCCACCCCCAGGTTCTCAGAGAACACAGTTGAGTTGGCATGAACGTAATGGGTGAGAGCGAGCGAGTTCCTCCTCCCAGCAACCTCTGACAACTTGGGAAAACCACACCAGACCTCCGAAACCCTCCGACGCTCCCAAGGCCTCTAGAAGCGACGAAGAGCTCCCCCCAAATTCCCCCCCGCCCGAAAGCTGCAGTCATTCCGACCCCCACGGATCCGCCTCCTCCTCTTCCTCCTCCTTCTCGCTCCTCCTCGATCCTCCTCGATCCTCCTCGATCCTTCTCCTCCTCCTCCTCCTCCTCCTCCTCGATCCTGCTCGTTACTCCTCGATCTTCATTCTCGATCCTCCTCCTCTTCGATCCTCGATCCTCGATCCTCGATCCTCGTTTCCCTTTCTCGATCCTCCTCCTCCTCGATTCTCCACGATCCTCCCCGAGCTTGTCCTTGCCGAGGCCTTCGAGTTCCACTACTTCTTCACGCGCAAGTTCTGGATGTCCTACAAGTGCATGGGCCTGGTGGTCGCGCCCGGCGGCCTGGGGACCTGCGACGAGCTCTTCGAGGTCATCACGCTGATGCAGACTGGCAAGATCAGGCGATCCCGTAGCCTCCTGCGACCCTCGGCCCGAAAGAGGATCGGCGCTCGAGGATCGATGTTCGAGGATCCAGGTTTTTCCAGGGCCGGGTCGGTGAGTAGCGGTGAAGAGGCAAACTTCAGGAGGGAGGGACACATAAAGACACATAAATGTCGATTCCCAAGGCCATGTGGAGGGGAAGACGCAAGTCGAGAAAATGTGTGTGTGTGTGTGTCCCTGGGCCCCTTCAACCCTCCCCTAGGAGGAGGAGGAGGAGGAGGAGGAGGAGGAGGAGGAGGAGGAGGAGGAGGAGGAGGAGGAGGAGGAGGAGGAGGAGGAGGAGGAGGAGGAGGAGGCAGCAGGAGGAGGAGCAGGAGGAGGAGGAGGAGGAGGAGGAGGAGGAGAGGAGGAAGAGGAGGAGGAGGAGGAGGAGGAGGAGGAGGAGGAGGAGTCCTTCTCCCTCCCTCCCTCCCTCCCTCCCTCCCCCGTCTGAGCCCTCCGAGCGCCGCTGGAAGGGCCCCGCGGCGCGCTCCACACGCCCCGCGCTCTCCGCCGCCTCCGCGGCCGCAGCCCTCGGGTCGGAGAGCGGGGCCCCGCCGCGGCCGACACGCCCCGGCCCGCCCCCCGCCCCAGGGTCGGTCGGGCAACAACTCCTCCTCCTCCTCCTCCTCCTCCTCCTCCTCCTCCTCCTCACAACTGCAACAACTGCACGCGGGCAACACGTCGGGAAGTGTCAAACAGCACATACGAAATCGAGCCCGACGTCACGACTGGGCCGCCCTACAGCTCCACACCGCCGGACACCCAGGCAGGCTGGCGGTGGTCGGTCGGGGGCGGACGAGAGGGGGCCGCTGGCACGAAAAAGAGAGAAGCTGCTCCCAAGACGGTTGGGACCTCTGGGGCCACGGATTGAAGCATACAGTCGGGGCGCTGAAGAAGGAGCCCTTTTCGTTGGGGAGGGGCTCCGTGTTCCTTGATTGTTTCACAGCTTGCCTTAGGTTTTCCTTAGGTGTTCGATGGGAAATCGATCTTTAACTGATGGGAAAAAGGGGCCTCGTTCCTTATCTAGGGTTCCTTAGGTCAACGTCCCGACTGTAGTATCGGAGGGTGCGGACAAAATCACGACGGGAGATTTATGGACCAGTTTCGGCCCCTCGGGGTCCTCGCTCTGCCCAAGGATCGTCAACGAAAACTGCTCGGGTTGAGAGAGATCGGTCCCCTGGGAAGTGGTCGTGAGACCCAGATTTTCGGGGGCGGAAAAGAGGGGGTGATGACTAGGGGGGGTGGATATCATGGCGTGGGCCATGATATCTCCCCAGATTTCGTGGCGCCTCTTCTCATTTCATTACGTCCCTGGCCCCCCCGCTGGGCCGCGCACATGCCGCCGGTCATGATTTGCACCCCCCCCTCCTGGAAACCCCCCTCTTGGCCGCTCCCGAGAACGGGGGGGATTGGGAGAGGTCGGAGGTTGATAGGCCTCCTACCCTGACACGTCGATTAAGGAATTGGCCGTTTTCGGTTCGCGAGAGGGCGTCGCGGCCGTCATTTTTGCGGGTCCAGGCCCGTCGGTTTCGGTCCCAGGCCGTTTTCACTAAGGGGAGGTTTCCTAAAGGGAGGTTTGTCCACCGCCGACCCCCGGACGTGACGGGGCGCTGGTGCGCCCTGGGAAAGGGGGGGTTACGAAATTTGCTGCATGCAGCTGGTTTCGGCCCCGCCGCCTGGCCCATTCCTCGATACATGGCCGCCTCCGGCGCCTGGAGGCGCCGGGAAAATCAGCTACGTGGGCTGATTCTCAAACCCCCCTTTGCTATCCCCCTCTTTCGCCCGACCCGACAGGGGCCCCCGGACGTGACGGGGCGCTGGTGCGCCCTGGGGTGCCACCAGCGGGCTTCGAGGCGGGGGTGGCTGCCTCTGCCTCGCGGAAGGGAAATCCCAGGGAGGCTTGTCCGAGGGGAGCTGTCCAGGTGGGGTTGTCCAGGTCCCCGCCGGGTTGTCCAGGGGGGGGTGTCCGGGGCAGGGCGTCTGGTCGTCATCAATCAATCGGCCTGGGTTGTCCGAGCTGTCCGACGGGCTGTCCGGGGATTCTCTCAGATCGGATGATTTTTCCATGGTGCACAGGTAGTATCCACAACCACCACCACCAGTCGAATTCCTCGTTCTCTCGGGCCACGGTTCGCTGCCCAAGTTTGCCTATTGCTGGTCGGCTTGTGTGGCGTTCTCGGTTTGCCTGGCAACATTCTGATTCGCATTGTGGTCGATGCCGCGTTGTGGTCGTCATATGTTAGCCAGCGTGGGCCCCAACACAGTAGGTTATTGCAGTCTATGCGGTGCATTCGATGTGGTGCAATGTATGCGATGCAACCTATGTAATGCAATCTATGCGGTGCAATCAATGCGGTGCAATCAATGTGGTACAATCTACGCGGTGCAACCTGTGTAATGCAGTCTATGCGGTGCAATATATGTGGTGCAATCTACATGGTGCAATCTACGCGGTGCAACCTATGCAATGCAGTACATGCGGTGCAATTTACGTGGTGCAGTGTACGCGATGCAACCTATGTGACTCAGTGTACGCGGTGACATCTATGCTGTGCAATCTATGTGGTGTAATCTACGCGGTGCAACCTATGTAATGCAATATATGCGGTGCATTCTATTTGGTGCAATATATATATATATATATTATGGTGTAATCTACGTGGTGCAATCTGTGCAATGCAGTCTATGAGGTGCAATCTATGTGGTGCAATCTATGTGGTGCAATCAATTTCAGTTCGCAGTGAGTTGCCATCTCCACTGCTCGCGCAATCATCCCACCCACCCACCCGCAACATGGTTTGCATAACCCATGCGGTGGCGAATGCGATGCGTGCTTAACGTTGGCTGGTCCATCTGCGCGGTCGAGCCAACCTGAGCACGCGCGAGCAGCGGCCAGCTAGTTCGGCGCGACCGATGCGGCCGTGGTGGCGCTGACCGCTGGGCGCATCCCAGCGGGCACTTCAGTGCGAGTCGGCGACTTGGGCGGTCACGGTATCATGGCAACGTCGACAATAGTAGACGATGTTGATAGTAACGTTGCTGGTGACGATGTTGTCAAGGACGACTGCGTGACCAGTGCGGGCGCCGATGGTCACGCCGACAACTATGACGGCGTCCTCGCGTCGGTGATGAAGGTTTTGGAAAGAGTTCGACACGCGCGCGCGGCCGACGCGCGACAGTGGCCCGCATGATGTTCCCCAATCAGAGCTTGCCTCTGTAGGGGTCCTAGCGGGCTTAAGGGTAGGTGAGGTGTGCCGCCGATTCGGTGGCCGGGCCCGGGTGCCCAGATGCCCGGGTGCCCGGGTGCCCGGGTGACGGGTGCCCGGTGCCCGGGCGGGTGCCGGGTGCCGGGTGCCCGGGTGCCCTGTGCCTTGTAGCCCTTAAGTCTTATAGCCCTTTCCCTATCGCCCTATGGCCCTATAGCCCTATAGCCCTATAACCCATATAGCCATATAGCCATATAGCCCATATAGCGCCCAAGAGCCCATATAGCCCTGTAGCCCTATAACCCTACAGCCCTAAAAAGATTATGGTTGGTTTTTTCATTGGTATCATTATTTGACACGGATCGTGCCCCCTCCAGCACGCGCACAAGGGCGCGCGAATGATTCCGGCATGCGGCGCCAAAAGGCCCGTTATGAAAATTGATGTTGCGAAGCCATACGTGTATATATATATATATATATATGTATATGTTTGTTTGGAAACTCGTTTTTCAACTCGTTGCGAAGCCGAAGGTTTTTGACGGATTTCGGCACGCGCGCGCGACGTCGCGCGGGTGTGTACTTCGTTGCGTGTTTTTGCGAACGATTTTCGCGACGTCACGCGCGCAAGTGCGTTCGAACGATTTCGACATGCGCGCGGGGCCCGTTTGGTTACATTTTCGGAAGTGATGAAGTTTTCAAGGTTTTCCAAAGTAATCACACGCGCGCGAATTTTGTTTGAACATCCATGTTGCGAAGCCCTTTTTTTTATTATTTTTTTGCATGTTTTTTGTACTGGATCTTGAAATCCTTTCGGAACCAAAGAGGTTTTTGAATGATTTCGGCATGCGCGCGTGACGATGCGCGCGGGTGCACTTCGTCCCATGTGTTGCACAGGTTTTTGGACAATTATGGTTTTTCATAAACGAATGCGCGCGTAGTCGTTTCTTTTCAAAAGGATGGCGGGGGAAACCGATACTGGCTCGGCTGGGATGGTACAAGTTCATCTTTCGGATGGACGCAATACGAAAATGGGGCCGATAATCCGGGGGGGCGTAGAATCTATGCGGCGGCGACGGCGGCGACGGGCGGCACCGCCCGCAAGAACCGCCACTCGCCCCGAGCGGCGGCGACGGCGACGGCGGTGACGGGCGGCACCGCCCGCAAAAACCGCCAGTCGCCCCGAGCGGCGGCGACGGCGACGGCGACGGCGACGGCGGCGACAGGCGGCACCGCCCGCAAAAACCGCCACTCACCCCGAGACGGTTGAACCAAGTCAGAGCCCCTAAACGCAAACACTGTTCGGGGGAAAAGCACCGCATGGAAGATCGATCTTGGGGGACGTCGGCAGGTGGTGGATATGGATGTGGATATGGATGTGGATACACACGTATATACATATCCACTGCCCGCTGGGGTCCCAGGACGTCGGTTCCACAGTCGGTGGGTACATATATATATACACATAGGCACATGTGTATGCAGACATACATATACATTTAGATATCTCGACATATATGTGTATCTATGCCTGTGTGTCTGTCTGTCTGTCTGTCTGTCTGTCTGTCTGTCTGTCTGTCTGTCTGTCTGCATATCTGCATGCATGCCTATATGCATGCAATGAATGTATGTACGTATGTATGTATGTCTGTATGCATATCTGTATACACATATATCCCCACCTCGCACTTGTGTTCCCCCTCTTTGTATCGGGCTCTGCTCGCCAGCTTTAGTGGCAGTGGGTTTTTCTCTCCAGGCCGAGTCATGGGTGGGAAGGTTGTCCTGTGCCTCCGCTGTGGAAGAGAGCAGGCGGTCCCTGCCAGTGATCCTCATCGGCAAGCAGTTCTGGAAGTCGGCCATCAACTGGGACTTCTTCGTTCAGACCGGCATGATCTCGGACGAGGACGCAAACCAGCTCATCTTCGCCGACACCGCGCAGGAGGGGCAGAAGGAAAATCTCCTCGTCCTCCTCGTCCTCTTCCTCCACCCCTTTGGAGCCGAAGCTGTGTAAAACAGTCTGCGGGCCTATTTGCTGCTGCATGCTTGTGGGGCGCGTTCGACCAGTCTCTCACCGCGCCCTGCGGGAAGATCACATCCCCACTTCGCTGCGCTGATGTCGGGTGTACAATCTAATAGCCCTCGGCCCATCCCGTCACCGTGCCTGCGCTGCGGTTGCTTCGCGTGGAGGCCAGTGCTCGCCACTTTGGTGGACGTCCGCGGAAGTGTGTTCGAAAAACGATATGTTGGATGATATTTTGCTGTTCGGGGGCCTCTGAGGAGGAGGCTCTTGGAGGCAGTTTGGGAAACTTCTGGGGCGTAGCGGGGCAGTTTCGGAGTTCCTTGAAGGCGTCCGGGGGCCTCTCGGAGCCATATTGGACGCCTGCTGCCAGTCTCGGGGGGCCCCTGAGGGCGCAGAGCTCAACATCTCAGTTCGTGCTCCCCCTCTGGGGCACATCTTGGGCCGTCTTGGGCGCCTCGTGGGCCGTCTTGGGGGCCTCTTTGGGAGTCTCTTGGGCCTTCTTGGGGCGACTTTGGGGGGCTCCATGGGCCGTTGTGGACGCTGTGAAGGCCCCCGAGACGAATATGCTAAACATATGCGTTTTCCACATATGGCTTGGGATCTCGTGGGAGTGCTCTTGGGGGTTCCTTGCAGCTTCTTGGGGGTCTCTTTGGCCGTCTTGAGGCCATCTTGGGCGTCGGGGAACGATCTTGGGGGGACTTGGGGGCCCTCTTGGACCGTTTTGTTGGGGCCTCTTGGGGCCCTCCAGGCCTGTCTGGGGTCCTTCCTGGGCGAGGTTGCCGCCCTCGAGGCCCACGCGGAACACCCCAGGAACGGCCAGCAGCGCAGGGGAAACCACGGGTCTGGGCCGTTGAGAACGCTAGAAGCCCTCTACGCTTCAGGGCTGCGTGAGCGTTGGGGCGCCCCGCTTCGTGCTGAGGGCACGGTGGCGGATCAAAAAGACGTGCAGAAGGAACGTACGGTAGGTTCTTGTCGTGTCGACCGGCGGCGACCCTGCCAGCGGCGTTCAACGTTGAACGCCGCGGGCGACCCAGAATCGTTCGATGTGGAACGGTTTGGACGTTTCGCAAACAGCCGATCGTTCAAGGTTGAACGATCCCCCCGGTGTCAGAAACCAACGCCGAAGTCGGCACGGCACGAACCTGACGTATCCACCACCCCCAGGCCTCCCTGTTCGGGGCCCAGATCTTGGCAGATGTGGCCCCCCAGTCCAGCGCGGAGCCGACATCCGCCGAGTGGTGGCCGCAGGTCGGCACGGGGAGAATTGGTGGCGAACACCCCGATCAAGCTGAGGCAACCAAGAGCTGGGCGATGAAAGCGCGTCGATGCAGTTTTTGTGCCAGCACCAGGCCCCTTGCGGGACTCTTCTGAGCCATATTGACTACTGCGACGTCTATGCATCATCCTGCCCCTGCCCCTCCCCCTCCCCCTCCTCCTCCCCCCCGATTTCGGGGGGGGCCTCCGAAGGCTTTTGAAAACCTTCTGGGGAGCTCCCCAACGCCTCGGGCAGCCCCAGGGGGCATCCACAAGAAGGCCGCCGAGAACCTCCGAAAGTCAACGAAAGCTTTCGAGAGCAGCCCAAATCCGCCGACAGCCCTCCAACAATCTCTGGACGGCGAGCGAAGGGGGAAACGAGAAGGCGGCGGGGCTTCTCAGAAGCCCTGCGGCCTTCCGAGAAGTTTTCTGTGCCCACGGGGAAGGCTCAGAGAGCTTCTCGGAAAGCCGAGGGGACTTCTGGCCGCCCTCTGAGCAGTCCCGCCGCCTCTCTCGCTTCCCCCCTGGGCTCGCCGCCCAGATCTCTGCTCAACACCGGTTCCCGCCCCCCCTCCCAGGGATACTCCTGACCAGTTCTCCGAGCCGCGTCTGGCCGTGGCGACGAGAGGCACCAGAAAACGCCCCAGAGCCGCCAGAACGAGGACGTCGTCGACGCCGTCGCTCGGGAGGTCCCCTAGAGGCCTCTGGAGTTCCTCAGGCTCCCCGAAGCCCTCGTAGGCCCCGAAGAAGGGGCCCACCGATCCCCGATTCTCGATCCTCGATCCCCGATGCCCCCGATCCTGGATCCCCGATCCCCGATCCCCGATCCATCCCCGATCCCCGACCCCCGATCCTCGATCTCCCTTCCCCGACCCTCGATGCCCAAGATCCTCGACCCTCGATCCAGAACGAGGCACCGCTCCCCGCTCCCTGGAGACCCCCCCCCCGCAGGAGGCCTTCGACGCCCTCGTCGCCGGGGTCACGGCGCTGGAGTGCACGCCCGTGGCCTCCAAGAAGAAGGCGAAGGCGTAGGCGACGAGGCCGCAGCCAGCCGGCGGGGGCAACCATAGGGGTGGATAGGCTCGAGGGGGGAAGCTTCGGGTTCGAGGTTCGAGGTTCGAGGTTTCTGGATGTTTGGCCATCTCTCGGCGATTTTTTCCAGCCTTGGGACGCTTTCCATCAGCTGCGCCTCCCCGAGAGCGCTCCAGGCAGGGGTGCCGAACTCGTCCAGAACGGCCGCCGGAGGCCCGAGTTACTGCCCGAAAGCCAGGCAGCCAGGGAGCAGCATGTCGGTGGCAACGTTGGGAAAGGGGAAAAGCTCCGGGGGAAACGCACCGACACGCACACACACGCACACACCCATCGCCGATGGGGGCCTGATAGCCCGTGCCGCCCAGGAGCCGTCGGGTGCCCGTCGCCAGGTTCATCGGCGATGTGCCGCCGCTTCCAGGCCATTTGTGGTTCCCTCCCCTGAGCCATACAGGCCTCGGAACAAATTAGCGAACACCCATGCCACATTCATCTGTCAACGGCTCCCCCTCCCCCCAGCGTTTCAAAGTTGGCGGTGAGTCTGATGAGATGCACTTCGACCCAAGTTTCCCCCGCTTGTGCCAACATTGAGGTTTGGGGGGGGTGTTCAGTAATTGTTTCCCTCTACCGTATGCCCCCCTTGAGGCCCCCCTCACAGACAGCAGGGGCCTGCCCATCGCCTCGGATCCGCTGCGGGGAGCACAGGCAGGGCGCAAGTTTGGTGGATGGAGAGAGGTAGTTTTGACGAACGGACAACACGCACACACAGAACCATAGGGGGGTCGGCGGGAGGAGGACGTGCCGTGGGCATGACTGCGGGATGTCGGGCCGCGGGGGAGGCTCCCGTGCGAGCGGGCGACAGCACGCACCCATGGCCCCCTCTCCGGATAGGTCCTCAGAGCATCGGTGTTGGTCTTTTTCTGGTCCCCCCCCCAAAATGAGGAGGGACAAAGAGACCCAGACGCACAGGAACGCCGATTCCCAGGAAGATGCGGGGAAGTGCGGGAAGCGGATAGGGGGAGGCGAAAGGCCCCAAAGCGTGGGAGCATGTGGGGACTCCTGCGACTTGGGTCGGGTCATCTGTGTCTCCCCAGGCTCCTTGCAGGAAGCATTACATTGGGCCTGTCCCCCAACAAGTGGATTTCCGACGAAAAATACAAAATACCCCCCCAAAAAATTCACCAACAAATTGTCTGGGAGTATTTTTTGCGTATCTTTTGACCCTTTTGGAGTATTTCTGGGGTATGTTTGATTTCTCGTCGAAAATCCCCCTGTAGGGGGACAGGCCCGACATTCACCACCCACCAGACCACCCCAACCCAACCCGAAGGCTCAGATTGACCCGCGATTTCTAGTGGGGGGGGTCGGGAAGCATCGAGAAAGCACGCGTGGAACCCGTACCCCCCCCAACCCGAAATTCGGGTCTTCGTGTTGGGTTGGCGTGGTCTGGCAGGTAGTCAGACATAGAGGAAGCACCACCCTACATGGGGATTTCCGACGAAAAATAAAACATACCTCAAAAATAATTTAATCAAAAATGGTCTGGGGATTGCGTATTTTCTGACCTTTTTGGAGTATTTTTGGGGGGCATTTTTCATTTTTCGTCGAAAATCCCCCTGTATGGGGGACAGGCCCGACATGGAGGAAGCACCGCCCGCCCAGAGGCCCCGCGCGGCCTCGCACGGGTCCTCGACCCGTGCACGCCTCGGGCGCCTCGCGCTCGGGGGGCCCTCGCGCCGGCCTCGCTCGGGCCGCGGCTCTTCGTGGCAGTGCTCGGGTGGGTCTGGGGAGCAGCACGAGTCTGTGGCCGGCGCCGCGGCCCTCCGTCGGGGGCCACGGGCGGACCCCACCCCCTATCGACTAGACGCAAGAGTGCCCCTTCGCCGGAGTGAGCTTTGGTGCGGGCACAGATGGGTCCCCGGACGGCCGAGAATGAAGCAGCGGCAGCTGCTTGCGCGCCCAGGTTTGGTCCCCCCGCGGCTCCCCGAAAGCCGCGCACCAAAGGTCACTCTTCCCCAGGGTCACTCTTTCGTATAGCCGACCCTACCCCCCACGGCTTCCGAGGGGGGTCGGGGTAGGGTTCGCATGTGGCTCTCTACCTCCTCCACACGCTCCGGGCGGCGTCGGTTGCGCCGCCCCGGGGTGCGGAGGGGGGGTGGAGGAAGCTCCAGCACCGGCCCAAAGAGCTCCGCGCGTACCTCCGAGGGTGCAGGCTGCGTCCTTCTCTGGTCTCCCCCAGCCGGCCCCACCGCGCCGCCTGGGCCTGTTTTTTTATGCCCAGAGGTGGAGCCTCTTCTTCCTCCTAGGTGCTTCCTTCCATCCTTCCTCCTCCCCCTCCTCGCGCCTCCGTCCTTCCTGCCCCCTGCTCGATGAGCCTCGTCCCGATGATCCTCCTCCTCCTCCTCCTCCTCCTCCTCCTCCTCCTCCTCCTCCTCCTCCTCCAGCTTCTCGCCACCTTTGTTCGTAGCCATTTTGGCTCAGTATCGCAGTGTCGCAGCGACAGGAGGAAGTGGACAACGCTAGGACGCGGCTGGCAAGGCTGGCTCCAGCCTGGCATTCATTCTCAGCGAGCTCCTGCAGGAACAACTCTTCGCCTGGCCCGCCCCAGGCTTGCAAACCTCTCCCAGCCGTGCGCTGCTCCCAGGCGCCGCATGGCATGGGCCAAGCCGTGGCAGTGCAAGTAGTGTGCCAACCAACGTGGCGATCGCTGCTGGAACTTTGCATCAGCAGCGACGTGCAAAGGTTGCGGCTGCTCCAAGAACACGGCCTTCCTCTCCGTTCAGCATGGTGGGGACCACCGAGCTCATCACATACGATTCCACCTCATCGGCCGTCTCAACGTGAAAACGAGCTGGAGCGCCAGGTGGCAGCGCTGCAGAAGAAGATCCAGTTCGAAGTCGCGGACGCCTCGATCTCTGGCAGCGGTGGTGGGGAATACGTGGAAGTGAGTGACATGGGGGACGAGAAGCACAATCCGTATCGTGAGGAGTTGGCCCAGGCGGAGGCAATTCTTTACGTCTCTGCCGAAGTGTCCGACCACAGAGTTTGCGAAGCAGCAGCATATGCACTGCGAGCGACACAAAGACGATAGGAGAGCCCGACTGCGCGAGTCTCAGCTCTTCGAGTGGGGGGCGCACGGCGTGGTCAACCGGAAGCAGCAAGTACTTTTCAAGCAGCATCGGCAGGAACGTGCGCTGGAGGAACTCCAAGCGGAGCTGTCGAAGCGCAATCGGGAATCGACGAGTCCACAAAGGCGCTGTCAACGACGCGTGAGCATATTGGTTGAAGAAGCTGAGTTGCAGGTGGTGCCCCAACCCAGACCGACGACTCTGCAGTAGAAGAATTTCTGGCACATCTATCGAGGAATTGGGCACACGGTTCAAATCACGAGTATTGGGTGATGCAGCAGCTACTGCCTTGTCGACCAACCTGCGAAGCATCATAGGTCAGCTTCGCCAGTTCGAGAATGAACTTGACCAATCGGTAGAGCTCGCTGCTCCAGCTGCCCCATGTACTTCGACGGCAGCTACTCCGCTGTTAGTGGTGCAAGTACTGACGAGGCTGCTGCTGATGGCAGTGCTGGTGCAGGTGGCGCAGGTATTCAGGCTGCTGGTACTCTTGTTCCCCAGGGCATGGCAATAAGGACGCATCCACGCTACGCGCCTTCTTGCAAGGTTTGGGGCGAACTGTCCCAGATGATGATGCGGAGCTTCGTGATGCTTGCCAGCGCTGTGGCGAACAACTGGGGAAAGAAGGCAAGAGGTTCAAAACTGAAGAGGACGAAATCTGAGCGTTGGTTGTGCAGCGTAAGTTGTGTGTTTGTATCTCATGCTGGCGATGGCGGAAGCTTGACCTACTCAAACATGGAATTGCGTATCCATGGGCCAGCTGCAATGGTGTCTACCTCATTTTTGAGCTCAGGTGCTGCGCGTGAAAGGAACCGTGTGAAGCGTGACCGTTTATCCAACGTACAAAAATGATGCCAGGTTTCATTCGGCATGGTGTCTTGGTCCCAGCTTTGGAGGCGGAAGCGGGTGGCACCTCAGCAGGAGTTGCAGTGATCGATTACTGCAGCAGCATCTGCTCCAGACGACGGCATACCTGTCCCAGGGAGGCGAGTTGCGACGCATGTGAGGTAGTGGGTGGTGGGTAGACCCGTCGATCTACTCAATATACCTCCACGTCGACACTAGTTCATCGGTTCGCAGCGTTGACGTGCCTTGGACGTTTGTGGAGCATTCGATGATGATTCGAGTTCAAGTCTGTGAATGGGTATCTGCAGGGGGCTCCAACATGGCGCCATCTGAGATTCAAGGTTCGCTCGCGTAGGAATGACACGGGGGGTAGTCGCATCGTCGGAGGCAAGCACCTGTAGTCACGCGCTTCCACGCAACGCCGTCGCTTTCTTTAAATATTCCTCCCCTTTGATTTCGCGCGCCAGGTGGCCGACCGTCAACGAAGTCACTGGCGTTGCGTCGCGCCTCGCAGTATGTCTACCTATCACGGCGGACGACTCGGAGCTGCCACTGAGGAAAGTAGCAGAAGCGAGGCCATAGTCGAGAACCGTCAAGGGCGGGTGTGCTCGTTTCCCCCAACGACGGGGACCTCTGAAGCAGCTCGTTGGCAGGGTTGAAACGGATGAGCAAGTGCCCGAGGCCTTGTTGGCAGCGCCCTGCGCTATCGAGCAGGCGCGGCACGGCGTGCCAGGCAGTGGCATCTTATATTTTCGCTGGGGGGCATGTGCAAGCTTGTCAAGTTCGCAGGACTTGTCGAGGGCGCGCCCTTTCCGATGCGCGCGCTCGGGGAGTCGCAGCGAGGTGGTGGAGGCGCATCTGCAGCATATCAGTCTTGCTCGCTGCCTTGCCCGATGCCGTCAGGGAAAAAGTGCCCCGCTTCAACCGTGATCCAGAGGATGGCTCCGAAGGCGGCCAGTCCGTTTGGGCAGATGTCTCTGGCGTCAGTCGAAGTGGGCCCCATTGGGCCTGGCTGGGTCGGGGGCCTTCCCGTGGGCCCGCAGCTGCGCCGAGCGCGCGTCTTCCCTCTCCCTCGATTGGCCGCGACCTCGAGGGCTACTACTAGCCCGTGCCGGAGGCCTCTCTCGGAGAAGGCTGCCTTGTTTGATCAGAGGAACCCTAGTTGTGCTCGCGCCAGGGCGGGCGCAGCCATGCCGGTCCCTCCTTCTGAGACGGCGCAGAGCGGGCTGGAGCTCATTCGCTCGGGTGCATCGGCTGAAGGGAGGGGGCCGCGTCCGCGTGATGGTCTGTCTGCGTCGGCTGGCGCGTTGGAGTGCGCTGCAGGCGGGGTTGGGGGCCTTTCCCGCGGGCGCGCGTGGAGCGGCGTCCGCAGGTGGCTCTTCGGCATCATGCGGCACGTGGGGGGGGCCATCCGGGGGTGGCCTCGGCCGATCCGCGGAGCGTCGCGGGGGATCGCTCGCATCTATCAGCCGGGCGCTTGCACGGAATCGTAGGCCCGTCATTCAGGATGAAAAGGCCGCGTTGACGTGGGGCCCCTTTCGATCGCGAGCGAGGCCCCCCCGTGGAGCCGCGGGCGCTAGGCCCTTGAGGGCCGCGGTCGATGGAGTCCTTGCCCTGGGCGCCGGGCCGGGCGCCGTGCCGTCGGGGTCCAAGGTCGAGGTGGTGAAGTCGCCGTTGGAATGGCCTGCTCGGGTGATGGTCGGCTCTGAGTTCTTTGCCGCTGAAGATGCGAGGGCGCGTGATGTGCTCAAAATATGGGGTGGGAGGGCGAGTGAGCTTTTCAACGCCGGGCTCTGCAGTTGGTCGGCCGACGGGGGGCTCGGCGCCAGCTTGCAGCGTCTCCAGTCGGGCGCGGGGGGTCCTAGAATGAGAAGTGGATGCAGTGGGGGGGGGCAGGCTTGAAAGGCAGTTGCGCAGGGCGCGCGTCGTTTCGCGGCAGTTCGAGGACTTCAACAGGTTCGCGCGCATTTTTGCAATGGGGCTCCACCGAGGCTTGCGGGCAACAGTTTGGCGACGGGGGGGAGTGATCTGGCAGCTGCGCAAGGCGGAGCAGCCCCCCCTGCCGCGCGATGCCTCTCCCGCCGCGTTCGATGGGGCAGCCCGATTCCTCGCCGAGTTATTGGCTCTCGTTTGGCGAGCGCGCAGAGGGCAAGCGCGCGTTATTCTTCGGCGCTTGTGGTCAGTATGCGACGAGGGCTTGGGCGCGCTGGCGCTCCTTTGCCCCGAGTGCGAGGCCCTGCTCGGGTGGTCTTAAGATCGGCGCTTTTGTATATATTTATATAAGTATATAGAGAGAAATGCAGATGCTTTGAAATCTAGACGAATCTATTCAAACTATATATATGTATGTATGTATGTATGTATATATATATATATATATATATATATATATGCATGCGCGCGGAATTCTGCGCGCGGCCAGAACGGGCAGGATGGGCGATGTTGGTTGCATCGTGAAACGCGTTGCTGCGAGTTTTTTTTTTTGGGGGGGTCCGACGGCGCCTCTGCTCGGATGGGCAAGAACGCATGCTCGCCCGTCTTGTTGGGGCACAGGCGCTGGCAGGTCGTCGCCTTATTGCGAGGGCCAGAGCAGCCCGCGCGCGCCGAGCACGTTGTCGCTGCGTGTTCGGGCATGTTCGAACGGAGTGCGCCACTGAAGGAAGCGCGTGCGCATGACTTCCCGCTGCGCCTCGCGTTGGTGATTCTCCGGGCGTGTGCGCGCTCGCGCGCGATGCGCGCGTGCGGCGACCTCAGCCATGTGTTCGCCTCCTACCAAGATATCACATAATGATGCGCACATGCTCCTGCTGTTTTGCTTTTGGCGCTTTGCAATGCGGCGGACGTGCAGTGTGTATTGTACTATCCTACCGTATGCGTGTGCGTGCTCACAGTCGATTTTAAGATGCAGTGGGTCGGATCGGGCCCGCAGGAAGGCTGCCTCCACGCATGCGTGCGCAACTTCTCGGGCGATGTGCGCATGCTGGCGCCCATCTTGCAGCGAGGTAAGTCGCCGCCGCGGCTCGGGCTGTGAAGAAATTTGCTTCAGGCGGTCGGTGTATGAAGCTCGGGTCCAAGAGGCGCATCAGGAGCCTGGGTGACGACTTTTGCTAGGTCCGTGTTGCTAGGGCGTAAAAGATAGCTCGTCTCGGGGCACTCGGTGTGCGGGGGGAAATGGTCTGGGGGCTCATTTTTTTTGTGTGTGTGTGTGTGTGTGTGTTTGTGTTATATGTATGTATATATACACACCTGCGCAAAGGTATTCTTCCGTCTGTTGGCCATGGAACGGGAGTCAGTGGTGCGCCCGCTTTAATGCTCGAGCAGATTCGATCTTTCGCTGACTGTATGATCGGCGCCAGTGGCAACCAATCCTTTGCGCGCTCTACCTGGCTGCTTAACATGATGGCGAATTCGACCCTCTGTTCGACTGGGCGACGAAATTCTTTACGCTTGGCGTATCCCCTCAAGCCCATCTCACAGCAGCAACTCCTCGCGAAGCATGCCGACAGTCGTGTTTTGCAGGCGTGTGTCCGCTTGGCCCCGCATATCTCCCCTGTTCCTCCTTCCTCCCGCCTCCTTGTACATCCTCCTTGTGAGGGGAGCGGGAGAAGGACGAGGCGGAGGAGGAGGGAGAGAAAGCGCTCCTCGTGATTTGAGTCGTTTGGGGTTTCTCGTCCTGGTGTGAGTCGTTCGGGCCCTTCTTCCTGGTGTGAGTCGTTCGGGCTCTTCGTGGTGTGAGTCGTTCGGGCTCTTCGTCCTGGTGTGAGTCGTTCGGGCTTCTCGTGGTGTGAGTTGTTCGGGCCCCTCATCCTGGTGTGAGTCGTTCGGGCCCCTCCTCCTGGTGTGACTCGTTCGGGCTCCTCGTGGTGTGAGTCGTTCGGGGCCCGCGTCGTGGTGTGAGTCGTTCGGGCTCCTCGTGGTGTGAGTCGTTCGGGCGCCTCGTCCTGGTGTGAGTCGTTCGGGCCCCTCCTTGTGGTGTGAGTCGTTCGGGCTCTTCGTGGTGTGAGTCGTTCGGGCCCCTCGTCCTGGTGTGAGTCGTTCGGGCTCCTCGTGGGGCCTCTTGGGGGCCTCTTGGGGGCCTCTTGGGGGGCCTCTTGGGGGCCTCGTGGGCGCTCTTGAGGCCTCTTGGGGGCCTCTTGGGCGCTTCTTGGGGGCCTCTTGGGACCGCTTGGAGTCCTCTGGGGGGCCTCTTGGAGGCCTCTTGGGAGCTTCCTTGGGGCCTCTTGGGGCCATCTTGGGGCCTCGTGCGACCTCCTCAGACGCGCCAGTGAGAGCTGCCCCCTGAAAAGGACAAAATGAGGCAAACACCTTCGTAAAATTAATACTTTTGCTATGAAGGAAGAGGAACGCGGCCCCCTCAGAAGGCCAACATGGGGCCAAAACCGTAGTAACATCAATGTTTTTGCTTCAAAGAAGAGCAGAGGGGCCAAACTCCCCCCCCCCCGTCGGGGCCAGAATCCTTGTGAGGGTCGTCGTTTTTTGACCCTCCCAGGAGTCGAAAAAGACCCCCCTGACCACCTGCCGGGGCCTCTCTCCAGGCCCAGGGGGAGGGGGTAAGGGGAGGGGTAAACCCCTCCCCGAAGGGGAAGAAGGGGGGGTGAGGACAGAGCGGGCTCTCTAAACCACTCACGCCCAAAGGGCTGGTGGGATTATTGAAGCGGTGCGCAAGTTCCATTTGGGATATTCGTGTGTTCGTGCCCAGTCTATATTATGCATCGAGAGTGTGCGCGATCGGGTTACTGCTGTAGCGAAGCCATCTTGGCAAATGGCGCGCGGACCTGCGGCTGCAGCATGGCAGACTCTCAAGAGAAGAGGGTGGCAGATGCTCGCCCCGATCCATCTGCGGAACGGCGTGGGCCATCATATCAATCTCTATGCAATGGCGCCTCGGGGTTTTGAAAAGCAGGTAAATGACGCCATCCGGAGAGAGCATATGAGCAGAGTTCGGGATCACTTACCCGAGCGTATGAGCGACGAAGCTATTTGGATACGTGCGGTGGGAAATGCCATTTTGAAAGTGCCGGTTGGATTGCGGCGAGAAGCTCCATGCAAGCTTTGGTCAGGTGGATTGTTGCGTCCGGATCGCGCGATGGAGCTGGGCGTGGCAGAGGAGCGCGAGTGCCTCTATGGCAGGGCTGCTCGTGGAACCGTTTTTTTTTTTTGTTGTTGTTGTTGTTTTTTTTTTTGTTTGTGTGTTTTTTTTTTTGTTTTTATTTTCCGCCAGTGGGGTGCATGCGAGGCCTTGATGCAAAGAAGCGATGCGCTCCCCGAAGTTGTCCCAGATGAATTTGTCGAGATGCGTAGCCAGAGGTTGAAGGAGGTCGAGGCGCGGGGGCGACAACGTCGTCGCGTTCGACCTCGCCTACGGGCTGCCCAGGGGGCATCATCTACCGGCACTCCCTGAGGGTCATCCTGACGTCTTCGAGTGGGGGGATTGCAGTGCGGACTGGTGGGGGCCGATGTAGTGCGCGGGCGCGTCAGGGCTGCGCAACCGCCGTCCCGCTCTTGCTAGGGTGGACTGGTTGGTGGCGCAGTTTTGCCCCTCCGCTGGGTGCCCCCTGCGCGCCTAGTGCGGAGGTCTATCCGAACTCGAGCAAACTATCTTTCGATGCGAACGCTATGCAGGGTGGCGCGCACTAATCTGTACGAGGCGACCTGGATGGATTGTATCTGACCGCTTCTCATGTGTCAGAGAAGCGAGTTCTTGGTCAGACAAGGTCGAGCACTCTCCAGTACGATTGCTAGTGCATGGAGGAAGATAAGGAGAGTTTATCGTGAGGGCGCAGAGCGGTGCGCGTATGTGTGGGTGCCCTCTTAGTGTGATGTGCAGCAGTGCGTGCAATATGAAGGTTCTGTTGCGCATAGGTCTAGCAATTCGCGGGCCGACTTGTTCGTCTGTCCGGGAGCGATGGGCATCCGCATCGCCAGCGCTTTCTCGGCTTGAATCAGAAAGATTTGATGAAGCCGAAACACCCAACTCGGTTATCGGGCTTCTTGGTATCACGAGTGGTCAGACTGTGCCAGGATGTGGGTGTGCAGCCCACGGTGAATCGCCTTCTCTGTGACAGCACGTGGTCTTCAGCAGTTGAATGAGACATCCGTGATCCGTGTGCACTGTCTGAGGGAATACTCGCCCGCCAGCCTGTGTCAAGAAACTGTAATTCTACATGCACGCTCCACGGTACTCGGTGAAGGACACATCCTTGTAAGACGTGGCCCCGCAGGGATCTGTGAAAGGTGTGGAGCCTACTCTCCGCACGTCCTCCAATATGCTCGTAACATGTTTAACGGGTGTCTCGGCTCTCCCAGCTTCTAGTCCACGCTGGTAATGTGAGGTCGCACATTACGCTTGTGCGTTAGGGCCTCGCGGTCTAGCAAGCTGACAGCATACGATTAACGGGCCCCGCAGCAACTTTCTCGCACACCCTTACTTCCTCCCTGGCCCCTGGCAGGGCCAGGCTACAGGACTGGGGAGCGCTCTCCGGTCGCGGCTGGCACTTCTGCTCGATTTGCCGTCGGGCTCGGCCTGACTTGCCAGCGTTTGGTTGACAGAGCCCGTGTGACTCTGTGCCCAAGAGCGCTCTTTTCCCGAGTAGTAGGAGTAGGAGTCGGAGTCGGAGTAGGGGTAGGAGTAGGAGTAGGAGTAGGAGCAGGAGCAGGAGGAGGAGGAGGAGGAGGAGGAGGAGGAGGAGGAGCAGGAGGGAGGAGGAGGAGGAGAGGAGGAGGAGGAGGAGGAGAGGAGGAGGAGGAGGAGAGGAGGAGGAGGAGGAGGAGGAGGAGGAGGCAGGAGGAGGAGGAGGAGGAGGAGGAGGAGGAGGAGGAGAGGAGGAGGAGGAGGAGGAGGAGGAGGGGAGGAGGAGGAAGAGGAGGAGGAGGAGGGAGGAGGAACCCCCTCTTCCCGAGGTCCTTCGGGCTTCAGGCTGACGCCTTGGCCCCCCGGGCGTTCTGGCCTCGGCGTGGATCCCGATGTTTTATTTTGGGGCAGTGTCGCCGCCCTGCCCTGGTGCCGTGATGGCGCCCCGCGGTGCCCCAGGGCGCCCTCTCCAGTTCGGCCCCCGTTCCGTTCCGCCATGGTTCGGTTGGGGCACCTGGACACTGACGCGCTTTTCGCCCTTTGAATTTTCTCCTCCTGCTGCTCCTGACTTTCCCCCGTGACGATTCTCCTTCTCGTCGTCCCCATCCGCTTCCCCCTTCGCTTCCGCCGCTGCTCGGCAGAGGGACCCCCCCCAAGAAGGCTGGGGTCACCGTCGGCCAGCTACGAGTGTCTGTCCCCATCGGGGTGGGGTCTTGGGTCGTTGACGCCAAACATCGTCCTCTTCCTCTTCCGCCTCTGGACTCCTCGCCCTCCTGTGCCTCCTGATGATCACGACGACGACGACGACAGCTGCGGCGACGACGACGACCTCATCTTTCTTCCTCCGCGCGGGACCACAGCTTAGGGCTCCCAACCTGTTCGACTCAAAACGCCTCGCGGCTTGCTGCCCGACTGCCCTCCGGGAGGAGCGAGGGAGCAGGGGTGCAGGGGGAGGACGGGGAGGGGGAGGAGAGAGGGGAAGGGAGGGGGAGGAGGAGGAGGAGGAGGAAGAGGAGGAGAAGGAGCAGGATGAGGAAGAGGAGGAGGAGGAGGAGGAGGAGGAGGAGGAGGAGGAGGAGGAGGAGGAGGAGGGTGAGGGTGAGGGGGATGGGGTATGATGATAATGATGATGATGCTGATGATGCTGAGGATACTGATGAGAATGATGATGATGATGCTGGTGATGATGATGATTGTGATGCTGATGATGCTGACGATGATGATGTTGATGGTGGTGATGACGATGACAATGACGAGGATTATGATGATGATGACGACGCCGACGACGACGATGGTACGTAGTGATGCTGCTGCTGATGATGATTTTGCTGACGATACTGACGAACGTGATGACTGTGATGATGTTGATGATGATGATGATGATGATGCTAATGATGATGCTGCTGCTGATGATGATGATTAACTATGATGAGTATGTTGCTGATGATGCTGCTGCTGAAGATGATGCTGATGATGATGCTGTGGCTGATGCTGATGCTGTTGATGATGATGATGACGATGCTGATTATGTTGATGATGCTGATGATGCCGATAACGATGATGATCATCATGATGCTGATGCTGATGATGATGCTCATGATGGTGATGACGCTGATGGTGATGATGCTGATGATCACGATGTCGATGACGATGATGATGATGATGATGATGGTGATGATGATGATGCTGATGATGATACTGATGATGCTGATTGTGATGATGTTGATGATGCTGATGATGCTGCAGCTGATGATGCTGATGATGATGCTGATGACGATGCTGATGCTGATGATGATGCTGATGATGCTGATGATGATACTGATGATGATGATGCTGATTGCGATGTTGATGATGCTGACGATGCTGATATTGATGATGATGACGATGCCGACGACGATGACTATGATGATGACGATGCTGATGATGATGCTGATGATGCTGATTGTGATGTTGATGGTGCTGATGTTGATGATGTTGTTGATGCTGATGACGATGCCGATGACGATGACTATGCTAATGACGATGACGATGATGATGATGATGCTGATGGTGATGACGATGATGATGATGCTCATGATGATGATGATGCTGCTGATGATGATTATGATGATGATGATGCTGATGATGATGATGCTGATGATGATGATGATGATGATGATGGTGCTGATGCCGATGACGTCGGCAGCGGCGAAGACCACGATGCTGACGAAACTGATGATGACGTTGATGCGATGCAGGTACTGATGCTGCTGCTGATCGTGATGCTGATGATGATGATGATGATGGTGGTGGTGGTGATGATGATGATGATGATGATGACGATGATGATGATGATGGTGATGATGATGATGATGATGATGATGATGATGTTGATGCTGCTGCTGCTGATGATGATGATGCTGCTGATGATGATGATGATTATGGTGGTGGTGGTGGTGATGATGCTGATGATGCTGATGATGATGATGATTATTATTATTTTTATCATTATTGTGACGACGATGATGTTGCTGCTGTTGATGATGACGTATGTCTGTGACGACGCGACGTCGATGCCGACGACGATGATGACGATGAGGGTGATGATTATTACGATGGTGATGACGACGAGGATGATGATGACGACGACAATCAAGATGATGATGCTGATGACGATCACGATGAGGGCGACGACAAAGACGATGGTCATGGTGCTGATGATGACGATGATACCAAGGATGATGCTGATGATGATGCTGATGATGATGGCAGCGACGTCGATATGATTCTGATGTTGCTGGTTCTGATGACGACGACGATTTCAATTATCATGATTCTTGTGATGGTGATGGTGATTAGGATGATGCTGCTGATGATGATGATGCTGATGATGATGATGACGACCATCATAATGATGGTCATCATGATGATCATCATGATGACCATCATGATGGTGATTGTTGCGGATGATGATTATGATGATTTTGATCATGATTATGACGATGGTGATGATGGTGATGCTGATACTGATCATGATGATGATCACACCATCACCGTGATGATGATGATGATGATGATGATGATGATGATGATGATGATGATGATGATGATGATGATGCTGATGATGATGAGGATGAGGATGAGGATGAGGATGAGGATGAGGATGATGATGATGATGATGCTGATGATGTTACTGATGCTGTTGTCGTTGTTGTCATTTTTGTCGTTGTTGCTGTTGTTGTTGCTGCTGCTGTTGTTGCTGTTGATGCTGTTGTTCTGGTTACTGGTGTTGTTGTTGCTGTTGTAGTTGATGGTGACGCCCATTATGCATGCCGATGGACGACGCAGAGGAGACGGAGGAGGAGGAGGAGGAGGAGGAGGAGGAGGAGGAGGAGGAGAGGAGGAGGAGGAGGAGGGAGGAGAGGAGGGAGGGAGGAGGAGGAGGAGGAGGAGAAGAGGAGGAGGAGGAGGAGGGGGAGGAGGAGGAGGAGGAGGAAGGAGGAGGAGGAGGAAGGAGGAGGAGGAGGAGGAGGAGGAGGAGAGGAGTTGAGGGGGTGGCAGGAGGATGATGATGATGAGGAGGAGGAGGAGGAGGAGCAGGAGGAGGAGGAGGAGGAGGAGGAGGAGGAGGAGGAGGAGGTCGGATTCTGTCGGGTCGAGGGGGCGCCCAGTCACCGGTCGAGCCATGCACCTCGCTCGCCCGCGAGCCCCCGTCATGACGGCCTGACGGGAGCGAGGCCGCAGCGGGCCCGCCGGGCGGCAGTTGGTCGCGCTGCAGAGGGCCCGCTGATCCAGGCCCTGTTTTTCAGCCGCCCGCGAGGCGCAGGCCTCACGGGCTCTCTCGACCGCCGCGGCGCACAAGGCGCCGCGGCGATGCCGCTTGAGCCATGGCACGCGGCCCCTCTGATGGACTTCCTTCCGCTGCTCGAGGCAGATGATGATGATTATGATGAGGAGGAGTAGGATGAGGAGGAGAAGGGGGGAGGAGGATGGGGGATGATGATGCTGATGCTGATGATACTGATGATGATGATGATGATGATGATGATGATGATGATGATGATGATGATGATGATGATGATGATGTGATGATGATGATGATGATGATGATGATGATGATGATGATGCTGATGGTGATGGTGATGGTGATGGTGATGATGACGATGACGATGACGATGACGATGATGATGATGATGATGATGATGATGATGATGATGATGATGATGATGATGATGATGCTGATGATGATGATGATGCTGATGATGATGATGATGATGATGATGATGATGATGATGATGATGAGGATGATGATGAGATGAGGCGGAGGAGGAGGAGGATGAAGAGGGAGAGCAGGAGGAGGAGGAGGAGGAGGAGGAGGAGGAGGAGGAGGAGGAGGAGGAGGAGGACGAGGAGGACGAGGAGGAGGAGGGAGAGACATTCCACGATTCTGAAATTCTAAGTTGGCCTCGCGCGCGCCCGCGGAGGGGCACGAGGTCTAGGAGGGACGGAGGGAGAGGTTGGACGGAGGGAGGGTTGGATGGTTGGATGGTTGGAGGGGGAGGGGGAGGAGGAGGAGGAGGAGGAGGAGGAGGAGGAGGATGAGGAGGAGGAGGAGGAGGAGGAGGAGGAGGAGGAGGAGGAGGAGGAGGAGGAGGAGGAGGAGGAGGGGGAGGAGGAGAGCAGAGGAGGAGGAGGAGAGCTTTCCTTCCTGTCCTGCCTGGGAGGGCCTCAGGCAAGAGGAGGACGATTCCCGGTCCTCGATCCTCGATCCTTGTTCCTCGATCCCCGATCCCTGCTTCACGATCCTCAAGACCCTCGATCCCGGATCTCCGATCCTCGATCCTCGCCCCCCGACCCCCCAACCCTCGAACCCCAAGATCCCCGATCCCCGATCCTTTCTAAACGGGATTTTCGATCCTCGACCCCCAAAAAACCCCAGGACGACGGTGCCGCAGCGACGGCACCCCCGCCGCGTGCCTGCCCGGACCCGCCGCCTCGCCTTGCCTCGCCGCGTGTACAGAGGGCCCCTGCAGGAGGCCGCGCGGCGGCGTGGCCGCGCCTCCCCCTCCCCCCCCGCCGGCTCTCCGGAGGCGCCTCGGCCGAGCCGCGGCGCCTCGGCAGGCCGCAGTGGTGGCGCAGCGCTGAAGCGCGCTGCCCCGCCGGGGCTGGGATTGTCGTCCGCGTCCTCTGCCCAGGCGTCCTCCCTTCCCGCTCCCTCCCTCTGCCGGTGGGTCGTCGTTTGGTGGCACGGGCGGTCCGCTTCGTGCGGTTCGTGCCTGGGCCGTTTGTGGCGCAGGCTGACGATGAGCGTTCGTTCCGATCCGATCCGCTCCTCCCCGGAGGAGGAGGAGGAGGAGGAGGAGGAGGAGGAGGAGGA